TCTTAGCTTGCCTCTCCTTCCCCTATTCCAGTGTTGCGTTCAAACATGGATCTGCCAAAGCTAAGGAAATCGGTCATCCCGCTTCTTTTTCTCAGCTTTCCAGCCATCTTCTCAGTTTCGTAGCCTAGCATATTCCTGCACCGAATTATCATCCTTTGTATCAAAACTGCATTGCTTCTGGGTAATTGCTTTACATAGCAATGATCTCCCAGCAATGATTGCTTTACATGAGTAATGCACATGCCATCAACATGTCAGCTAATGACTGTGCACCGTCTGCCAGTATAATCGCGTTTCACGTAAATCCCATCCCTGCCCCAAATGGTTAAAGTCTAAGGTGAGATAAAGGCCCAGCCGCGTGAGATGGGGAGCTGCGTGCTGCAGCGCTGGCGGACGTTGGCCCTTCCTCGTTGTCATGGAGACAAGAAAAACCGGGGGGCTGGGGAGAGGGGGGGTGGACGTAGGCGGCCGATCGGCTTGAGCCAGCCTGATCCCTAGCAACGCTCAAGGACTGCTGGGGCCCAGAGCTTGCTGTTGTCTGGGCATTTAATCTGTTGTCTGGCCGCCCCTCATCCCTTGCCCCCCAAAGCCCCGCCTCCCGCCAGAGCTGAGGCCTCAGGAGGGAAGAAACATTGGGGGAAGGGTTGTCTGCACCTAGCAGTGATTAGTGGAGGGAGGGATCGGTCTCTTGTTCACTGCCCTGTCCCCAGGGCGCCCATCCACCCACTCCCTCCCCCAATTTGGCAGTCATGACTCAACTGGCTGCCTTTGTTCTCTGCCTCTCAGCCACGACCAAGCACTGTATATCCTCCTCATCAACTGATAACTTCTTTTTCAGAACCTTTTTTCTGTATTTTCTTCTGTATACCAAGCAGCCCCACTCGGTATTCTGATTTGTTTTTCTCATTTCAGCCTATAAAAGGGACGGGGCCAAACATGTTAATTGCCTTTCATTCCTTCTTTGCCTTCCTTACTTCACCACGCACTGAGCTGCGCAGTTTAAAAAAAAAAAGTTTATTATCTTCCCCCTTTCATTCCCAGAACGCTGTATGTGGGGACCTGTTACACCTACCTCTGAAAAACCTCTTCGCCGTCCTCTCCCTTTAGCACTCTTCTGAAGCTACTCTTAACGCCTCTCTGTCCTCACTTCATACCTCTCCTTCCCTCCATCTTTCCTCCACAGCCCTCAAACTCCTTTCTTTGGCACATAGTCACATGTCACTTTTTTTTTTTTGGTACTTATTACTGTGTTTTAGTAGGGCATTTAATTAAAGGTTGTTATTCTGAAAAATGTACTCTTCCCTTCTCATCATTTAGGTGTGGAAATGAGGTAGTTGATAATATTTAAGCCAAAAGGGAAAACTGGGGGGGGGGGGGGGCAGCAGAATTCCCTTTTATATCTCCCAACACAGGAATAGTGTAGCAGATGTTTTACTTAAGCATGCTTTTCAAAATGGAGAAAATGTATGAAAAAGCAGAATGGGGTGGGGAGGGGTTATTTAGAATTCAAATTCAAAGGTGCATAAAAATAACAACTTTTCAGTCGAGTTTATGTAATAGGCATCTTAAAATTCAAGAGAATTGTACATATAAGATTGAAAATAGTTGTCTAGTGGATCTTTAACAAATCAAATTGCTATTAGAATGTAGGTTTCTAGAGGAGGAGAGTTGAGGCCATGGCAGGAGTTTAAGACATACCTAGACTGTCTATGAAATAGAAATAGTAAAATCTAGCTCGTATTGTTTGATTCCAGTATATGTGGATTTTCTCATGTTAGTAATTTACAACAACATATTGGCCCAGTAACGTCTCCATCGTGAGACTTGTTATTACTGTGTTTGGCATATTGAATACGTCACGGGAGCTTGCCAGGCTCTGCCGTGCGGGTGAGATACTCTCCATAGCTTGCCGGGCTCTCCGAGAGTGAAATACTCATGTATTTAAAATGAGACCAAGCACAACAGTCTGCCAGTAAAATTAAACTTTTTTTTTTATGTAGGAATACTGCTATTTATTCGGTCGCTGATTAGGCTGATTGAATTGTGCATGAACTCCGCAACATTAAACTTTTTAAATGCAAGTTGTTGTTTGGGGCTCGGTAGAGAGTACAGCAGGTAGGGCACTTGCTTTGCACACTGCCAATCCACTGGTCCCTCCCAAGCATTGCAAGAGTAATCCTTGACTCAGAACCAGGAGTAAGTCCAGAGCACAGACAGGTGTAGTGCCAAAACCACACACACACAAACAAAATGCAAGCTGTGAAACTGCAGAATATGCTAACATTTACCTAAGGGATTGAACCATGCATATTAGTTTGCTAGGATTGATGTAACCAAAATACCACAGATTGGTTAATCTTGGGCTTCTTAAACTTTTTCCACTTATGATCCCTTTTCACTCAAGGAATTTTTACACACTCCTTGGCATATAAAATTGGATATTAATCAAACTTTTACTGATTATAAATAATAAATTGTTTTAAAACTAATTTTTTATGACCTCCACATTCAGTTATATTCATCCCATATGGGACTGTGACCTCTTTCTTTCATAGATCTTCACATGATCTTTCTTCTGTGTCCCAGTCTCCTGATTTTGTGTCTTAAGGTCTTCTATGGACACTAGTTATATTGATTTGAGGCCTACATTCCTGGGTTCATTTTGCCTTAACCTCCTGTTAGCCACATTATGATGTACTTACTAAGGCTTCATATAAGAGTTTGAGAGAAATACTGTTGTTGCTGTACGAAGTATATTCATGTGTCAAAATTTACCAAATTGTATGCTGTAAGTATATGCAGCTCATTGCATATCAGTTATACCGCAGTACTTGTTTATCTTTTACATGCAAGGAAAGTATATCATTTATTTTGCTTTTATGTACATAAAAGACTGGTTACCTTTTGCAGAAGTGATGAACACAAAGCAGATGGATTTCAAAAATGAGTTTTTAAATATGTAAATTTATTACAAATTCAGAAAAACAAATACACATTAAAAACTGATAAGGTAGTCAAGCACTTTGATTATTGGAGCTATAGCTGTGGAGTGAATCAAATAGTCAGGCACACTCAAAACTCTCCTCACAAAACCTTCTGTTCTCTATGGCAAGATAAGAGTTGCAGAACTTTGTTCAAGGCTGTCAACCATAACCTTGGTTATCATTCCTGATTCTAAATTTTTAACTCCATTACTAACATTTTATCAGTTTATTTTCATGTCCAAATGCTCTTAAAATAAGAAAATGATGCACTTATAACTGTTAAACAGCTATATCCAGAAGCATATTTTATAAAGTTCAAAACTGTGCTCTCAAAAAAAAAAGACATTTTGTTGGTAAATTTTACATTTACCATTGCCAGATGGGAGGTATTTTTTGTTACAGACTAAGCAGATATTCACTGTAGGTACCTAACATTTACATATACTTTCTTTAAGAGAGTTTAGTAGGATTTAGCTTAGAGCAGTCCACGTCTAAGTTGGACAAACATAGACACACATGTTCCCTCTCCCCATCCCAGAGCAGGTAGTGGAGAAGAGCTATTATGGGAGCAAAAATGATGGCGTGTATACTCTCTTAGCTCCTGCAGATGCCCTTTGAGTCAGTGAACTCAAGCGAGCTCTATAAACGTAAGCTTGTTTCCGCATTAGTTAAAAACTGAGCAGTGAGTTTGATAGTGAAATTAAAATAACAAAACTAAAAGTCGCTGATATCATAGTAGAATGAGTATGTTTTTAGAGTATATTAAACTTACACAGAGCCTGAATTTAATAGACTATTGACTCTTTTTTAAAAATCTATCCTCATCCCAAAAGTGATAGGGCCAAATAGCTTCTATTACATTGTTCATTGATCAGCTTTGACATAATGTCAAACAAAAATTTCTTTAATCATCTGATAAATCCTTCATCAGCTTTGAAGATTTCCTGAACCATACTGTCACCAGTTAATATGTTTTAAATATTGCCTTCCTGTTTCCCAAGGAGTCGATTGTTGGTATCGACCACCAGGGTAATAAACGTGTTGTCATTTAAGAACCTTCATGTCATAATCAGCTAAGCAGAGGAGACTACACCTTTATTGCTGCAGGGGTGAATGGGAAGTCTCCATAAAAATCTGTTTTTCTATAACTAAAACCACTTTTACAGATAGAGAAGGGAGCACCAAATAAAGGATGTTTGGAGGATCCTCCCAGGAGGGGAGATGCATGTCGAAAGTAGTCTATGGACTGAACATGTTTGCCACTCAATGCATCTTTTGCAGACCACAACACCCAAATGGAGAGAGAGAACACGGGATTGCCCTGCCACAGAGGCAGGGGGGGATGGGGGGATGGGGGTGGGAGGGATATTATCCATGGTGGTGAAAAACGGGCACTGGTGGAGGGATGGGTATCTGATCATTGTATAATTGAAACCCAAGCACAAAAAAAATTGTAAATCTACAACTGTAAAAAAATAAATTAAAAAAAAAAGAAAAGAAAAAAAAACCACTTTTAAAAATTATTTAGGGCTATTTATGTGGCCCAAGTAACAGAGCATGTGCCTTGTATGCGAGGCCCTGGGTTTAATCCCTGGCACTGCATGTCCCTTCTGCTACCAGCATCTCCAGGTCTAGCCCTCAAATTAATTTTCAGTTATATTTCATATATTTGTATTTTAAATCCATGGAATTCATTTTCTGTTCATTTGGTTTTGTCTTTGGGCCACACCTGGCGGTACTCAGGGGTTAGTCCTGGCTCTGCGCTTAAGGATTACTCCTTGCAGGACTCTTGGGACCATATGTCATATCAAGAATTAAACCTGGATTGACTGTGTACTATCATCCAGCCCCAAATCCATGAACTTCTTGTAAAATGCAGGTGCTCTCTGAATGTTTGCTCATGTTACCACATGGTTCCTTCTTGGACATGTCCCACAGACATACCTGAATGACATCTTCCTAGTTGGGTGCTCACATATAATTAAAAAGTATATGATTATGAAACTGTACTTGCAGTGAATGACGAGGAACAGGAGGCACTGCCATCTCTGGATAAACCTGGCTGGTACTCTCAAGGGAATGCTGTACATCTTTACAAACTCCTGAAGAAAATGACTGGCAAACCTGAACCCAAGGTATTTTCTGGCTGATGCAGAGTCCTTGATACACATTTACACATATAAACTGTTGTAAACTAAAACTACCATTCAGAGTGTGTTCAGCTTTGCTATGTACGAGAAATCATCTGCCTCTCCTAGATCTACCAGTCTCTCCTCTCTTCTGATTCAAAAAGCCTGTCCTATGTAGATACAAACTGGATCTTAATCTGTGACAAGAGCAAAGGGATAACTCCAGATCAAGGAAATACACTAGATTACTATGTAGGATGCCAGAGGGGCAGTGCTCTGATAATAGTCCATCTTTTTTATTATGTTTTTTATTGAATCACCGTGAGATCCAGTTACAAAGTTGTTCATGATCAGTCATACAATGTTCCAACAACCATCCCTTCATCAGTGTACATTTCCCAACACCAGTGTCCCCACTTTCTCTCACCCCACCCCCCCAGCCTGCCTCTACAGTAGACACTTTATTTTCTTCCTCTCTCTCTCTCTCTCTCATGATAACTTAAAGGTTATCATGGATAATAGTCCATCTTAAAAATGTTTTTGTGTAGAACAAAAAGGCTTGCTGTTGACACCCTGATCATATTATTAATGTTGATATTAGTGAATTTTTAACTCTTCCGTCTACAAAATCATTTGCTAGGGGTCCAGTTAGCAGGAAAGATAGTGGTAACAACATACTACATCGGCTCCCACCTCACCACAGCCCACTAGGGCCTCCTGATCCTTGTTCAGATGCCCTTGGCCTCATTTTTCATCATCTGTAGATTGACAAGTGTAGTCTAGATTTCAAGGGACAGATTTAACTCTTGAGACAGATGTGCTTCTCATCCTCCCCCACACACAGAAAAATAAATTAAAGCACTTGTCTTTTTTCTGAGTACCTATGTAAGTTAAAACAAACTTGACAGGGATCTGGGGCAATAGTACAGTGGGTAGGGTGTTTGCCTTGCACGCAGCCGACCCAGGTTCAATTCCCAGCATCCCTTCTGGTCCCCTGAGCACCACCAGGAGTAATTCCTGAGTGCAAAGCCAGGAGTAACCCCTGTGCATCGCTGAGTGTGACCCAAAAAGCAAAAAAAAAAAAAAAACAAAACAAAAAAAAACTTGACCACCTGGAAATCAAAATCGGACATTTTTGCGATCACCTGTAGAGTGATTGAGGGATGTTTCAGACATTGATGCAAAACCTAGAGCTAAAGCTTAGTAGGAGGGGCAACCTGTTTTACATGTATGAGGCCCGAGATTGGATCCGTAGTGGCAAAAAAAAAAATGTGTTTATGCAATTTTTGTCTATCCGATACTATCAAAGAATTCTTTGCCTTCCGTGAAATGTGGACCATTCTCTTTCACAGTTCTCAAGCTTCCAACAAAATGTGCTATTTTACAGGTTGTGTACTTTGGTGACAGCATGCATTCAGATATTTTTCCTGCCCATCATTATAGTAACTGGGAGACAGTCCTCATCCTTGAAGAGCTCAGCGGGGACATGGACAGGAAGCCTGAGGAATCCGAGCCTTTAGAGAAAAAAGGGAAATATGAGGTAAGGATTCCTTTCAACTCCTTGACAGCAAAACCTGTTTGACATGTCTTGGAAAGTACTTATTTATACAAAGAATGATAAAATCTGTTGCTGCTTCCTGTGATGGTCCAGTTCATGACTTCATCGCTGCCATTGTTGAATATCTTGTTGATAATTCTTAAAAGATGTCAAGGAGCACCACTGTACATCCGTCTCACTCCCCTCCCTCTCTTGCATCCAGTGCTGTGGCACCATAATGTGTTTTGACTGATACTGAAATAACCAGATCTCGTGTCACTATAGCCATGTATGTGCGTCTCTCTTGCTTAAACATGTTAGCGCTGTGCTCTTTCCAAATTTAACTTAATGGGTAGCACCTGTACACCCAGCATGCTCCTCCCCCAGCTAGAGACTTGAAGAAAAGGAAAATACAGATTTAGAAAGAGAAATTATCTAAACAGCAGAAAAAGAAAATAAGGGGGGAAGCAGAAGAAAAAGATTTAAAAATAAGAGACATTTTTTAAGTCCATTTCAGTGGCTCAGTATGTAAAATACGAAAATACCTTTTATCCCGCGTCAAAAAGTAAATGTCAAATCAAAAAAGAATTAAAAGGAGTTATCAAGTCCCACAGATAGAGGGACCTATCTGTGGGACTTGATAACTACTCAATGAAAGGAGTCAGTCTGAGGAAACTGCATGCTGTATAATTCCAATATTTTTTTTCTGTGGAAATTCAAACTGTTATGAAAAAGACCAGTAGGTATCAGTGGTTCAGGCATGCAAAGGATGAATAAATGCAGCATAGATGTCTAGCATGGTAAAACTATTCTGTATGGCCATGTAATTGTGGATATATAACATTATGCATTTCTTAAAACCCATTCAACTGTACATCATAAACAGTGAACCCAGCACTCTGGGGTATAGCTCAGCAGTAGAGTTCTTGTCTTACTCATTCTAAAGACCCTTACTTCTATCCCCAGCACTCCTCTCCTCCAAAATAATAAGCCCAGACATAAGATTTGGATTTCTAGGATACTTAGGGTTTTTGTTTTTTGTTCTATTGAATCACTGTGAGATACAGTTACAAAGCTTTCTGTTTGAGTTTTAGTCAATGATCAAACACCCATCCCTCCACCTGTGCACATTCTCCACCACCATTTTCCCCAGTATATCCCACCTTTGCAACCCTCCTCCTGTATCCATGGCAGACAATTTCCCCCATATTTTCTCTCTCTACTTTTGGGCATTATTTTACAATACAGATCACTTGATCACTTGACATCCCGTTACTCATCAATTTGCTCAAGCAGGCACCAGTAACATCTCCATTTGTTCCTGTCGAGTGCTAGTGTAGCCCAATGGCATCTGCTCATTCTAGGAACACGAAAAGCCTCAAACCGATTATTCAGGGTCTTGACGAAGAAATCAGACCATCTCATAGGTGGGCGGCCACGTGATCTTTTGACGTCCTGTGGAATCCTGTCGGTAATGGCTCTAGTCCAGCGGTCTTCTCCAAATCGTATTACGTGTCCAGCCCATCTGATTTTCGATGCCTTGCCAAACGAGACAGCATCCCTGATTCTTGACCATTGATGGAGATCAGAACTCTGGATTCTTTCTCTCATTTGAGTGAAGCATGTTACTCCAAGCATAGCTTTTTTGATTCCTCTTTGGGAGACCCGAATAGCGTTCCCATCCTGTTTTCGTAGGGCCCAGGTCTCTGAGGCGTATGATAATGCAGGGAGAACAGTGGAACCGAAGAGATGTGCCCGGAGCCAGAGGTTCTTGTTCCTCTTAGCTATTTCTTTGATGCTCTTGAAGGCGTTCCAAGCCGCTCTCTTCCTCCTGCGCAACTCAGGTGCCAGGTCATTCGTCATGTTGGCTTCTCGACCTAGGTACACATCACTGTTGCATTCAGAAGTGTTCATTCTGTTGAGAGTGAATGGAACGTCAGGAATGAGACCATTTCTCATAAACATTATCTTTGTGAGATTCAGCTGTAGTGCAATCTTTCCACACTCACGGTCAAAGTCGACAATATTCAATATACCAAAACCGGTAAATACAATGCAGATACAGACAGGTTATCACGTTTGGTCCTTTATCTTTCAGCATACATCTCCCATTCCGAGCGGTACCTCCAATCATCATTGTCTTTGTGTTCCCTTCTCTATTCCAACTGCCTGCTCTCCCAGCTCATGAGACAGGCTTCCAACTATGGGTCAATATTCCTGGCCCTGTCTACTTAGGATACTTAAGTTTCAACAAGTATACTACAGTACTGAATGGAAGATATTAATGGGAAGCCAATGGAGAGAAGATGGAGATATGTACTGTTTGCTGAACGTATTTGTAAACCTAAAACTGTTCTGAAAATAAAATCTTGAAAGCCCAGGAGGACAGTACAAAGGATAAAGTGCTTGCCTTGCGTCGGGGTCCTGGCCAGTCGACCCAGGCACACTCCAGTACGAGCCCCCAGTCACCGGACTTACTCCTTATAGGAGAGGGAGTGGGAAGGAGAGAAGCCTCTGCCCTGGCCCTCCACGCACTGTGGACTCCAGCCGCCTCAGAGAACCACACAAAGGGGGAAAAGCTGGTGGTCAATCAGTAATCTTTATTAGCTCTCACACGGGATTTTGTACATATTTTATACATATTTCAGGGGACAGTCCACGTGTATCACATTTACCTTGTCAGGCTCAATATAGATGTTAATGATTTACATCTCCCACTCTCAGGGCTAACTCAGGCAGATGGTAACTATTACATCCCTCATCCTCAACTAGACGCCTACATGTGTGGAGTGCTGAAGTAAGGCCCTGGGCCCCTGTAAACAGGGACAGCTCTTTTAGGGGCAGGGGATTTGGTCAAAGTCGCAGGCCGCTACTGAGAGCCCAACAGCCTTGCACACAGCAAACTCCAGTTGATCCCCAGCACCATATTTGTAGTGATCCCTGAGCACAGAGCAAGGAGTAAGCCTGAACCTCAGACATCAATAAAATAAAATAAGATTTTGAGTCGATGAGATAACTCAGTTCAATCCTGTCTCCATAAAACATTTGGAAGTGTTTTAATGAGTCTTTAGTTCATAGTTTGATGTGCCTGCTCTGCCTAAGCATAATGCCTGTGGCATGCTTATAACAGTTCCTTACCTTAAATAGTACATGATCTGTCATTGTGGGGTTTTTGTTTTGTTTTATTGTAATCATTTGTTTATTTTTGCTTTTGGGATCAGACTCGACAGTGCTCAGGGCTTACCCCTGGCTCTGTGCTATGGAATCACTCCTGACAGGCTTAGGGGACCATATGGTATGCCAGTGATCAAACCCAGGTTGGCATGGAAAGCATGCACCTGATCCATGATACAACGTATCTCTCTGGCTCAGTCTATCTTTGCGAAAGCAAATAGTGCCATGATTGCAATATAGCATGAGAGCTAATATATGAGGGCTGAACTCAGGGTGGAAAAAGGTAAGGAGACCTAAGGCAACCTGAGTATGGAGAGTCAAGGAAACTGCTGTTGACATTCAGTTCAGATCCCAAGGGATGGGAAGGTGCTCCCCAAACCAACTAGTAAGGATATTATCAAAGACTTTAGATGCTTCATTATACTTTTATATACAGGATGTGGTTTTGTCTTAGGTTAACAATTAAAATAACCTTTTTTTTTTAAGTAGGGGAAAACTTACATAATGAAATTGGACATTTAGAATAAGATTAATCATAGCTTTCACATATAGGATGTGGTTTTGTTTTAGGTGAACAATTAAAACAACCTTTTTTTACTTTAAAGTAATAAGGAAAACTTACAAAATGAGATTGGAAACTTAGAATAAGACTAATCACAGCTTTCACATATTCTGCTTTTATTTCAGGAACTGAAGACAAAATCTCTAAATGCCTTATCTAAAAAATGGGGCTCTTTTTTCATTGACTCCCTTCCGGGACTGAGAAATACAGAAGACTCCTTGGTTTATACCTGGTCATGTAAGAGAATCAGTACTTACAGCACAATTGCAATTCCAAGTATTGAAGCAATAGCAGGTAAGGGAGTAAATATTCAGAGAGCTTTACCTTTTACTGGATTGGTATTTCCTTAAAAATTAGAATTCTTGCCTTTATGAGAAGAAATCTTTCTGTGATATATATTTTTCTTGGGAAACATCTGTTTCCCTCTTGTTGAATCCCCAGTCTCAGAAATTCCATCCTGAGATACCCTTGTTTGAACAGAACACACATTTCTAATCTCCGTTAACTTCATATCCAGACTTCTAAACAGACCATTGCTGCTACCTTGGAGAAAATAAAATCTTAGTTTTAAATGAAAACTGACACTCCTGTTTGCCTCATAAACATTTTTTTATTCATTTAACATTTTTCCATGGGTGTCTTGTTAGACTCGGTTCTCTCTGGCATTCAGATGCCTGAGTAGCTATGTTTTATAGATGTTGTAAACATTTGCACATACTAGCAATATACTTTACAGTGGTGATTGGTTTGTAAGCATTTTTATAATATAATGTTAAATATAATACTTTTGAACATTATAAACAACATCAGAGACCTAAACATTTACTTTAGGAAATGAATAGGAAAGACAGAAAAGACTGTTTCATTTTTATCCTGTATCATTTTGGTGTCTTATTAGAAATGTAGGACCTTAGGTATGTTATTTTTGAAATTCAGTTTTAGCAATTCATTTAAGAATGCCCTTTTAATAAATTGTACAAAATACAAGTTAGCCTGGAAAGTGAAGGGTGGGACCTAGAGACAGACAAAAAACATTCTTAGTTCTCACACCAATTACAGTGAAAATCCATCTTTTCTCATTATTGTAAGTGCAGCCTTAGAAAATTTTATTACTAAACTCTCAATAAGTTTTATCAGTGATTATCAGTTTGGGGTTAGGGTTGGTTGGTTTGTTTGCTTTGCTTTTACAAAGTCTTTGCAGTCTACAGAATAATCAAAATGTTGTTTGTTTGTTTGTTTTCCTAGAATTACCACTGGACTACAAATTCACAAGGTTCTCCTCAGACAGTTCAAAAACGGCTGGCTACTATCCAAATCCTCCATTAGTCTTATCAAATGATAGAATATTAAAAACAAAATAAATTATCTTTTAAAAATTATGTAAAGAAATATATTCAGCAAATGAACCATAAAAGTGCAAATTTTCAAAGAATACTATAAAATGCTTTATAGAACAGATTCTTAATGAAAATTGACCAAAAACTTTATATGCTTTTCTATAACTTTTCTTTCTATGTGGATCATCTTGATGCCAGCAACATTCATTATATTGTTACGTTCATACCGTATAACTGTAAATAGCTTGTATTGACATTTTCTCTACCAATAGTTCTGAGATCAGAATTTACCTGGAAATTGATATCCATACATTGATATCCACTCATCTTCTTACATTCTCAAATATGCATAAGGCAAGTCTTTTCCAAAGTGGATGATAGTGCTCTCATGGGGCACTGGAATGTTCTAGAGAGGCAGTAAAAGCCTTGTGATATAATTTGGGGGATGTCTTCTGTTTGTTTACTTTATAGGTAGATTTCTAAAGCACTGAATAATGTTGTTTTGTTTTGTTTTGTGTAAAGAAGATGCTAGGCCAAATAAATCAGGAATTTTTGAACCCTACACCAAAATGTGGTCCCAAACCACATAGCATCATCAAAAACTTCATAGAATATGACTTCATCCAACTTTAAAAATACAAAATCAGAAACCCTGTGAGGACCAGCAATCTGCCTAATGATAACTGTGATGCATACTAAAGTTTAAGAACCACTTACTGGACCATGTCTTCCAGAGATTTGTTTAATTGAATTAGAGATACAGATGTGTAGTATATCTTTACATACTTGAGGAGCCAGCATTGAAACCAACTGATCTGCACTAGTTCACCTGATTAAAAGGCAGATACAGAATCTAGTAAAATGAAATGACTTTTCTAAGCTATCAGATTTCATGCTATTTTATTTTTTTAAAGCAAGCAAGTAAATAGATATGATTTCTTTTAGGGCCATGTGGCCAATATAGACAGATGATACTAGAAGCAGAGTATCTCATCCTCATGTGTTATCTGTTAGAATCTTCTTCCCTCAGAATATTAAAAGCTCATTAATTCATATTCATACACTTTAATGCAAATATTCTCAGAGACAAAAATTGGTTATGGAGTAAGAGATACCTCAATTAATAGATTCTCACCCACCAAAGCGCAAACCAACTAGATGAGTCTTTTCACTTAGTACTAATTTCTCTAAGGAGAAATTTATTTTAAATGAACTTTTTTCTGACGGGGAGTAGGGAAAGTAACCCCTCCCCAAAACTATGTCAGGTAAAACTGCTTTTAGACATTTTATTTGTATTCAGTAATTCAGGGCTGTTACTGCTCTCTGCTATATGAAGCCATATTAATAGCTGTTAGCTGCAAGATGTTTGAAACCAGGTGATGTTTACTCTTAACACCGTAATTTCAATCTGTATGTCATAAACAGCATTAGAGAGAAAAGAAAAACTATTGTTTATTAGTTCATTATTTTCATTATCACTATTTTTCTTGGATTATAGTAGAGTAGTTAACATACTGATATATGGAATGAAAGGTAAAAATATTTTGCTAATATTTTCAAATGCTCAATTCTAAATATTATTATGGGTTGACTATCAGGGTAGGTGAACAGTTACTGTTCACCTGTTCAAATTTATTTCCTTAAAGTCAGTATCTTTGATATCTTCTATTAGGGTTAAAAAAGACATTTTTTAAAAAATTGATTTCTGAAATGTCATTGAAATATATTTGATAACAGACACAAAAGTCAAACTTAGGAAGATGCTATCATATACTTTTGAAGACAATTTTTTTTTAAATAAAGATATGTTCCTTTTTTAAAAAAGCAATAAATCTATGTGTTTATTTGTCAAATGGTTAAAAAGTTTATCTTAAATGCCAGATTTTGGATTGCTGTTATTAATATAAAAGGTTAAAAACAAAACCAGTAAGAAATGTTAGCTCTTTTGCCTCTAAGGAGTGAAAAAGTCACTGAGTTCCAGAGTTCCAAGTCCTCCTTTTGCCATTACTTACACTGAGCAGGTTACCACTGAATTATATTAATTATTTTCATCTTGTCAAAAAAGAAAATGAATTTAAATTCATTTAAAAGTTTGCTACTACTTTCTAGCAGAGTCATTGCTTCTAGTAAATGTTTTCTATGTAGAAAAAAATGCTAGATGTTTAACACTTCCAAAAAGGTGCCTCAGTAATGGGCTAAAGAGATGGCTCAGATGGGTTGGGATGTAAGTTTTTACGCACCCCAGGTTCAATCTCCACCTCTCCCAGTACCACCAGGAGCTCTCAGAGCATCGGCCTTCCCTAAAAATAAAAATCCTAGTATTTATATGGAAAACCAGTAGCACTGTAGCAGTGCCCTCCCGTTTCTCATCAATTTGCTCAAAGTGGGCACCAATAACGTCTCCATTGTGAGACTTGTTGCTGCTTTTGGCATATCGAATACATCACGGGTAACTTGCCAGGCTTTGTTGTGTGAGCGAGATATTCTCGGTAGCTTGCTGGGTTCTCCAAGAGAGGGGGAGGAATTGAACCCAGGTCCCCGGGTCGGCTGAGTGCAAAGCAAATGCCCTACCCGCTGTGCTATCACTCCAGCCCATGGGAAACCAGTCGTTTAAAAAAAAAAAATCCCAAAAATGGTACTATAGAAATTAAAAAGAGGACTTGGGAGATAGCTCAAAGCAATTTCTTGTTGAGATCCCAAGTCTGATGTCTGATACCTGTGAGCCCAATTAACATGACATCATCAAGTTGAACACTGGACCAATATTCCCTCACAGCTGCATTAAGGTACTTAGGACTGGCCCTAGGTCCACTGAGCATCAGCAAAATAAAAAAGACATTAGAGAGGAAAAACTATTAAGTTGTGAAGAAAGTAGGAAAATTTTTTAAATGTCAGAAAAGTTTATTTTAATATTAGCATATATCCAAACATAAGATACCTAAAAATAAATGCTAAGGATCTGAGGTTTTGTTTATGGGCCCTGTTCTCTCATCAGAGGAAAAACATGAATGACGCATTGGTCAAATGGATTTGTCAGAATTAGCATTTTGAAGATTAAGCACAAACTTCAGTTGCTCCATGAATTACCATCTAAAAATATAAAATACATATATAAATAACTAAAATCTACTCAATTTGTTAAACTCTAAATTGAAATCATTATTTCCCTAACATTCACATTCTACAATTCATTTACATATATCAAATATAATAAACACCAAAAAATGGAATATAAGTCAAACTATCTCTTTTGTTATAGTAACCCTCACTGCTGGAATCATGGATTTTCCCTCCTTTTTTATTACTGTTTTTTTTTAAATTTATTTATTGAATCACTGTGGGAAAGGTTACAAAGCTTTCAGGTTTATGTCTCAGTCATGCAAATATCAAACACATTTCCCTTTACCAATACTTATTTTTTACCATGAAGAACCCCAATAAAATCCCACCCACCACCCCTCCCCGTCCCTGTGAGGCAGATGAATTCTAGTTAACACTCTATCTGCTTTGATTAGATTCATTGTTTCAATAAAAGATTCACCACTATTATTTAGAGTTTACCGCCCCCCCCCCCCCCCCGCCAAATCAGACATGCTGAAAAAGCATTGTGAAGTGATTTGCTTTCTACAGCTGGGTTCAAGAATTAAATGTTGGTTTTGGATTTCTGCTATTTTACCTATTGACCCTGGAAGTATTTCTACTGAAAGTCAGATAGTTAAGAAATTGGTTTCTGTGTTCTGGAGTCGTGGCCGTGCTGGAGAGCCGCTCGCGGCGGGCAACCGGTGGCCTCGGTAGGGCGTGAAGGGAGGAGCGAAACGCCCCCCTTCCCATGAAGTTTTAGTCGCCCCCACACTCCCGGCTCATACCTGCTGTCCACAAGGCTCCCATGTGGCCGCCATCTTTCTTTCCAGAGAGGAGAGGGCGAATGGGGCAACACCCTTTCCCCTCCAGCAGATTTGATGGCCTGGATTAACGCATAGTCCGTTCACTTTTCTGCTCCAAGCTGCTGGGTTCTGCATTAAGTCCTTGTGCTTCTGGGGCCATGGCCGTGCTGGAGAGCCGCTCGTGGGGAGCAACTGGTGACCTCGGTAGGGCGTGAAGGACGGACCGGAACGCCCCCCTTCCCATGAGGTTTTAGTCGCCCCCACTCCCCCGGCTCATACCTGCTGTCCACAAGGCTCCCATGTGGCCACCATCTTTCTTTCCAGAGAGGTGAGGGCGAATGGGGCAACACCCTTTCCCCTCCGGCAGACTTGATGGCCTGGATCAACGCATAGTCCGTTCACTTTTCTGCTCCAAGCTGCTGGGTTCTGCATTAAGTCCTTGTGCTTCTGGGGCCGTGGCTGTGCTGGAGAGCCGCTCATGGGGGGTGACTGGTGACCTCGGTAGGGCGTGAAGGACGGACTGGAACGCCCCCCATCCCATGAGGTTTTAGTCGCCCCCACACCCCCGGCTCATACCTGCTGTCCACAAGGCTCCCATGTGGCCGCCATCTTTCTTTCCAGAGGGAGGAGGGCGGAAGGGAGCAACACCCTTTCCCCTCTGGGCAGAAATGATTGCCTGGATTAATGCATAGTCCTTTCACTTTTCTGCTCCAAGCTGCTGGGTTCTGCATTAAGCCCTTGTGCTTCTGGGGCTGTGGCTGTGCTGGAGAGCCGCTCGTGGGGGGCAACTGGTGACCTCGGTAGGGCGTGAAGGACGGACCGGAACGCCCCCCTTCCCATGAAGTTTTAGTCGCCCCCACACTCCCGGCTCATACCTGCTGTCCACAAGGCTCCCATGTGGCCGCCATCTTTCTTTCCAGAGAGGAGAGAGCGAATGGGGCAACACCCTTTCCCCTCCGGCAGACTTGATGGGCTGGATCAATGCATAGTCCGTTCACTTTTCTGCTCCAAGCTGCTGGGTTCTGCATTAAGTCCTTGTGCTTCTGGGGCCGTGGCTGTGCTGGAGAGCCGCTCGTGGGGGGTGACTGGTGACCTCGGTAGGGCGTGAAGGACGGACCGGAACGCCCCCCTTCCCATGAGGTTTTAGTCGCCCCCACACCCCCGGCTCATACCTGCTGTCCACTAGACTCCCATGTGGCCGCCATCTTTCTTTCCAGAGGGAGGAGGGCGGAAGGGAGCAACACCCTTTCCCCTCTGGGCAGAAATGATTGCCTGGATTAACGCGTAGTCCTTTCACTTTTCTGCTCCAAGCTGCTGGGTTCTGCATTAAGCCCTTGTGCTTCTGGGGCTATGGCCGTGCTGGAGAGCCGCTCGTGGGGGGCAACTGGTGACCGCGGTAGGGCGTGAAGGACGG